GAGAGGCGTAAACTCTCAACAACATACCTGTCGTAACAGAAGCTCGATAAACCAATAATAATCATGAAACGAAATCTACCATAGTTTCGGTAGGAATCTTGAATGACCTGGGGCCAGTCAGCTGTGGATATATCTCAAGACTGCCGCCCCGTTTTCTTTTGGGAAAAGTAGGCCCCAGTCAAGGTTTTTCAGTTTTAACTTTTGAATGCGTTTCAGTCAGGGTGTCSTGAATTTTGCTCCAAAGCGAGGAAAATAGTGAATGTCTCCAACCCAGCGTTAGGGTTGGGTGGGGATGAGTTGTATTCGAGGGATGCCTGAAGTGTATTTAGAACTCAAAATGTGACAGCGACCTTTGTACCCTTTGTTTTTTGTTTTTTGTTTTTAATTTTTCCCATAATGATGAACCTCTTCYGGGGTGGGTAACTGCCCTGTAGAATTTCTAAGTTTGAAGACTAGAATGCAGAGAGTAGGGGGTTGGGGGGGGGCGGGGKTAGAAAGAGAACTAATCTGTTACTTATAGGGAGCGACCTGCTAGACCTCAGATCGCTGGTGACTTCAACCGTGCTATATCAGACGGCCGAGGAAGGGTGAAGTGGCTAGAAAGCTCTGTGGAATTGGAACAGACAGTGTCTTAGGACATGCAGAATAACTCTTATATCCAGGCTATCTAGGCTATGGTCACAACGGTCACCTCCCAAGCATGCACAATGAGCAACTTGAAGGCTACTGCAACTTGATGAAGGGCCTTTTCTGCCATATCAATCCAGCCACTTTCATGTGTCTGGGATGTTTCCTCAGCCAAGATGCCACTCTAGCCAATGACTTGCTGGCGTCATCCGCATTCAGTTGGATATTCTTATGTGCCACCTGTTCAGCAAAGCCTAATGTGGCCCCACCACTGCGAATCATGTATTTTTCTGCAATACCGTCAAATATGAGATCTGGATCCCCAGGCAGTCTATGCCATTGGTCCTGTGTAGGGGCATAGGTGTCCACTACGGCCTTCCAAACCCTCTCCGAACCAATAATTAATGGCTTTGGCATTAGCCACACCTGATCCATGAGCAAGGCCATGACAATCATCCATTCCTCCCTCTCCCCCTCCTCTTCATCCTCAATCAGTGACAACCTTTGCAACATATTGGCAATGTCGCACACCAAGGAATGCAGAGTTTCACCAACCTCGGGACAGCCGYATCTTGACCAYRGTGCCTCTGCTCTTTGGTCCCAGTCGACAGCGGAGCCACTGTGAAATGGATGTCCCTCCATGTGATCGACAACAACTTTGTTTTCAGCGATCCAAGAAGCTCGGTTGTGTTCAGGCTCATTTAAAATCTTCACGCGTGTCCAGACAGCCACCGCTAGCTGCACAAGTGGCTGGAAGGACTGTGATTGGAGACAACCATGACTACAACACCTACGTTCACGTGTTGCAGCTGTAGTAGCGAGCTTAGTGGCTCTATCTTCTACAAATCCAGGTTTGTAGGGGGGATCCTCCATAGACCACATGCCAATGAGACACCTGGCACCATCCTTCTGGCTGCTGATTGCATCACCACTTCCATAAAGCAACCGCACGACTGCCTTGATCTTGTTCGTCTGTCGGCTCACCATCACAGACTTTCGAAAGTAGGGTATGCCGTAGTCAAATGAAGGGACACAATCCAGGCTATGTGTACGTAGAGCACTCTGCAGAAGTGCGGTCAAGTTGGCTGCAACTCGCAAGTGGTACTGAAGCACCATCTTCGGCACTCCTCCAAACACGTCAAGGGTGCCAGGTCTCTCTGCATTTGCAGGACTTCTCTCTGGGCTGAGGTCTGCCAGGTTGTTCTCCTGCCACCAGATTTGCACAATCAGATGCAGTAGAAGAGTTTGCCAGAAGACCAGAAATGCAGCGACAAGTATGGTGTCCACAGCGTCTGCCAGTAGTCCACAAGCGATCAGTCCCGGCCAACTGACAAGAGACCAGGCAAGGCAGACTTTCACTTTTTTCCAGCTGGGCATGTACATACTCCCCCTACGTGAATGCCACCATGCCAGCACATATCTTAACCA